CCCTGTAAATCTCCAATGGTGGAGATTTTGCAGCCTCCATAAGCGATATGTTTCACTGCTCATCTATTCCGACCACCAGAAAGATTTTCCTTATGTCCTTATTTCTCCTGTTGCAATAGGAAGACTTTGTTTCTTTCCTCTATGAAATTTTGTCGTTTTTCTTCATGGTCTTTTCTAAACTGCATGATCCTGATTCTTTCATGAATTTGGTCAGAAGTCTGAAAGACTTCTACTATATTCACTTTAGTCTAAATTGTTCTTGAAGTACAATACTCAAAATTGGATACAGTATTCCAGCTAAAAGTCTCATCTGTATTGACTAGAAATGACAACTTAGGTGTAAACCCTGTAAGACTGTTTATTCATCATGTTGTAAAACTGTTGGAAAATCATGCAGGTGGGATATTGAGTCATGTTCAAGTTTCTGTTTACTGTAATCCCAAGAAACTTTCTGGAGGAGCTGATACGCTGTCATACTATTTATTTTGGGGTTTGGTAGTTGATTATTCCTACATGTAGTACTTCATCCTATTTATTTTAGATCATTGTTGATAAATTGAAAATTCTTGCTGTCCTCTAAAGAGCACTCAGTTCCTACCTTGAAGCGTCTCACATTTTATGTGTACTCTAGTAGCATCTGCATCACCTATGAAAATATAAATACTTTTAGAATCAGATAGACTACCATGGAATTGCCTAATTATTCTTAGTTAATAATTTCATATTTTAAAATGGTCTGTAAGGGGAGGCTGGAAGATAAATCCATTGAGAGGTACTAACACATGGGAACCACATCTGGCTCTTAATGCTTGAGATTATTAGAAGGTCACACATATGCATCCTCTATCCTTAGGCTCTACCCTAGGCATCCACTTTAGGCTGCTTGTCAGAGACACCGTATTTTCTGGCCATGTGAGTCAAGCGAAAGATCCATTTTTCACTGCGCTTATGTTCTTAGGGCTATGAATTATTATAAATTATTGATACTTAATTATGTAATGCAGCTTTTTAGCCCGTTGTGCCACTGACTGTATAGGCTACAGATATAATTGTATTTCCCTACGTTGTTATGAAACTGGCATTTGAAACAAAAAGTCAGTGCTAGCACATCTTTCGCATTTTCCCTATCCACAGCACTTGCTCAGTTAAGAAAACTGGGGACGTGTGACATGATTCCCACTGCCAGCTCTGTGCCAGTGGGTTTTTTCCAGGAATTGAAGTCAGATTAATTTGATCTAAAATTCTTTGGCTTGTCTTCTTCCTTGTTAGGTGCCACACTTTTATTTCTTTTCCTA